GAAATATCTCAATAAAAGTTAGTAAGATTAACTTGGTAAATGTCCAATTTTAAGAGTATCTAAAATATCTCTATTGTACTAATTAATAAAACCTCAGGGTCAGATAATATTAATTAAATCAACTATGAGCTCATTAGTTACTCTAATTATCTTAACAAATAACTCTCAGAGCAGACCAGTACCCAGTTGATTTCAACTAATATTATTTAGAACATTTCAAGATGAATGTAAGTTGTTTCAGCTATTTTAAATGTTCAATGTAACTTGTTCAATTGATGTTCCATGAATGAAAAACCACATGTTTTTGTTGTAAAATGTCTTTGGTTTTTATATTGTATGTTTTATTAGTATTTTGATACTGCTATAAGGTTTTATTAGTATTTTGAGAAATAACGTTCAACACATACCAATAGCAAAATTAGAAAGTAAATTGCATTAGAATTATGTGCATTTTTTAGATGTGATTTAGTTCTAATTGTGATACATTTATTTGAAAACTTTTTTATATAATTGTTCATGCATTATGTTCAAAATTAGCATATATAGTGCATAAATAGCAAAGTTACAAAAAAAAAAGCCCATATAATTCATGGAGTATCAAAGATTAAACTAAAATAAGCACATAAAATGCATTTAATAGTCAGACATAACACATAACTACAATTAATTGATTTTGATAGAATTACAAAACTTAGTATTTTATTCTAACTTTTAATCTTGATTAATTTCTCTTCAAATTTCTTCCTCTTATTTCATGTTACGAGTCCATGTAGCTAGCTTAAGAATCTATTGAGTCATCACAATTGTAGATTTAGTTATCGCAGTTGCAGATTTAGTCTTCACAGTTGTAGAATGAGTCATTTCATGTCCAAATTGAGTCATCTTAGGTTCACCGCCCTATGGTTTATTCTTAATTTCTAGTGATTCATTTGTACTTGAACCATGACCTTTGATTGGTTTAGCTCTCCAAATTATCTTCAATCTCTCACTATTTCTAGTTGGAATTTTAGAAGTCTTTGTAGATTTTGTTTTATTGGTCTAAAAAAAATTTGGTTTCTCGTCTGTAGTAGGTTTTAAATCAACTTCAACACGTGTAGTAATAAGCTCATTAATTGCAACATTTATGTCAAATTCATCAAACACATTTTAGTTTCTGGTTTCATTTATTTCACTTATCCTTTAGCATCTGTAACATTTTCGAATTTACTCTTTTTTGGATTTTTCTCTGTACCAAAACAAATGTAGGGCAGTTAGTCACATAAAAAAGTGAAAGTTTCCTAGTCATTTTAAAACAACAAAACAATGATAATTTACCTTTATTTTCAAAGCCATGGTATTTTCCTTTCTTTTACATTTCCTTAAGTTATGGCCAAAATTATAACATTTGGTACGTTTATAACCCACGTCAGGCATCATCATCCTTTACACACTTTCATCATGTTCTATATGCCTTAACCTCCTAGGCTTACATGTACCTTTCTTAAACGTTGGTGATAACATATCTTCAACATCAGCATTATGTCATATGTTCATTCAGTTGATGCGGCTTACGTTATAATCATTACACATTTGATATACCTCCCTCATATAATCAGGAACAACAAATAATTATGGGTTTAGGTTTGGATAATTCATAGAAACCACGACATGTTTACAAATGTATACCCGCTAAATCCCAAAAACAACCAGAACAAGTTTTTTTCCTAAGATCGGCAATAAATTGAAGTTCATTAAATGGATGGTTAACTTGACATATGTCACTCGTACTCCACGTTGGCATCCACTAACTAATCAACAAAACATATTTATGTAGTATTTTTAGGCATTTGCATTACATTGTATTTTTCATTTATCAAGTTCAATTGAATTATTAGTTATTTTATTCATTAAATAATTCATAATCCATTCACACACAATAAGAATTGATTTGTCCTTAGCTTGTAAATTGTATTATAGAAAACTCAATTATGTCGTTGATTAAGAAATCACACATGGTTAAAAGTTAAAAGCATGCTTACACCATACTTGGCAGGGACTCCCATCATCCACCCTCAAGCTTTCTTATCTAACTACTTTAGCTCTGCTATATTTCATCTCAATCTTAAAAAAAAAAAGTTGCTTTGGCAGTTCCCATCAATAGACCTTATTCCAGCTCCATCATTAAACTTCTTCTTAAAATTGATATGCTGATGTCTTAGACATATTTTATGCTCAATTTCTTCAAACGTATATTCAAAGACACTTACAAGTCCCTGCATAGACATAATAATTACATAAGCAAACATAGTAAATATAAGGTTAAAAACATTTGCAAAAGACTTATTTGTAGGGTTAAATGAGCATACCTTTTATTGATATGATATAAAGACATTTTTCTTTCTTCCCAAATATCTTTAACGAGTAACTATAAAAACCATCTCCAACTTTCATTTGTGTTTGTCTCAATTATATCAAAAGCTACAAGATAATAATGATTACTTGGATCCCTAACAACAACCACTAATATTTCACCACCGTACTTTATGTCAAGGTAGCACCCATTTACCCCCAATAAATGACCTACATTCCTCAGTAAAACCCTTATTACAACCACCAGAACAAAAATAGTAACTACCAAAACATGGTTGAATAGTTAGCAATGGTCTTTCAACATTAATTTTCATAGAATTCTCAAACACTTTGCTTCTTTAACTCTATAACATACTGTCATACCCTAATTTTTAAACCTAAGATCCCATCCTTTTATGCATCGCCTTGCATAACATCTTTAGGTCATAGGATATTGTGTGTGTGCTTATTATCACTAACCAGCTTGTGCAGGTGCATTAAATTTCAAGTGAAGTTGATATTCGTTCTCACAGTTAAATACTTCAAGGCGTGACCAATGGATTCTGATTCAAAGTGGTCCTGGGGTTTTTTGCTGGTCGTTTGCCTCATGATTTCTCAAAAGCCTCAATGTATATCTGAATATCAAGGTTTATAGTATTGGAGCTTGGTTAATTGAAGACCAGGAGTGCTAAGGTTTTTCATGCTAGGGTTTCTTTCCTTAATCATCTTCAAGGATTCCTCAATGCATTACTATTATTTTACTCAATGAATCAAGGTGCCTTTGTGGATCCAAATGCAAGATATAAGGCGAAGATTCGTAGTACTCGAGGCATTGCCCTTTTTCAAATACTTATTACTGGTGATGAAAGTTAGGTTGTTCATTAAGAATACAAGTTGGTGATAAGTTCAAGATCATCCATATAGGTCATTTGGAATCTAAAATGGTATGCATCATCTGGAGATTTCAAAGTAATAGCATTCGTCATGATTTCAAGGCATAATCCTTTTAGTCATCAAATTCTCAAAGCCATTAACGGCGGAAAGATTGAAGCTAGGTTGAGAATGCAAGATGGTTTTACTGTGAATCTTTGTTCAGTATTCATTCGAGTCGTTTTAATCCCAAGTTATTCCAATAATTGACTCGAAGTTCTTACATTAAGGTTAGAAAGTTCATGGATTTCTTGGAAGCAAAATTACATGCCACAAGTTATTTAAGTCCAAGGCATTCCACCATCCTCTTTCGATTCAATTTCATTTTCAAACTCATAGCTTCAAGTTTATTTGATTTAAATTGCACCAAAGAATCCAAACATGCCATTTGAAGTTCATCATTTCACATGACCAAAGGTCAAATTCACATTATTTTATTTCAAGACTTTGGTTCAAGTCACACAAGCCATATGAGTGAATCCCATAATACATGAAAAGAGAGGAAAGACAAAAGCATGGTAAATGATTTATGAGACTTGATTTATGCAAGTGTGGTAATGTGCCTTTAAACTATATTACAAATAAAAAGGTCTGAAGAGGCATGATTAGAAGGTTCTACATATTCCCATAATAATATATTCAGAATGACAGTCTCATACGAGTGCCATCGACCAAAATTCTTTTGGAATCACCTTATTTTCGAGAAAAAAAGCAATCAAATCCTCCTACTTGTTTCTTGCTCCACTTCAGCTTGTTGCTAGAGATGAATCTCGCCTTTGTTTTGCTGCAAATCTTGCAAAGCAGGGAATTCTCAGGCAAGTGGGTGCTTTTGCAACTAAAATGTGTGCTGCTTATTGCCTACCACTTATAATGAATGTTGTGAGCGATACTGAAGCTGAATGGCCATATATATTGCTGAAGGAATTGATAAAATGCCTAATAACACAAGCAGTGAAAACATTAATACTGCTAAGCATTCATAAAATTTTACATAAAATACATGTTATTTACATTTAAAGGTTTCCTTTTTACAAGATTCATTTGTACGTGAAATTTGGAACCAAGTTAGTAAACAGGCATATCTGGAAACTATTCACCCATTGGTCTTATCCAACTTGTATATTTCTCCGGATAAAAATTCAGCTGCATTTGCTTTGTTGCTTCTAATTAGTTCTAGTGAAGAAATTGGCGTACCAATTACCATCCATCAGACTATCTTGCTTCTTTATCACTACTTTAGGAAAGGACTGTGAAGATGGCATTGACGTGCTAGGGGTATTTTTTGGGGAAACCTTTATTGTTGAATAGATGCTACTATTACTGAAAAATGTTATTCAGTCCTTCATTGATGTGTCATGCATGCATAAGCTTGATCACGTCCAGAGTTAGAGTGCTTTAGCATTTATTGATTGTATGAGATGATTATAGATGGCCTTGTAACTTTCTTGTCAGAATAAGTCATTGTAAAGGAGCTGCTTGAAGACGTAAGTATAGAATCTGTTGTGCTTCAGGTTGCTGCTACTACTCTCTTTGGAATTTGTCATCAGATAGGAGCAGATTCGACGACATTGCATATTCTTCCAAAACTTAAAGAACTATTTGATAAGCATGCTTTTTCCCAGGAAATTTCTACAGGTTTGATTACTATCGGCAGAAACTAGAAAGTTTCCAAATTAAAATTGGAAGGGATTGAAAAGCTTCGTCAATTTTGTGCTGCATGGTTGTTTCTTGAACAGCTACTTCTACACCGTCATAACTGGAAGTGGGAACAACAAAGAATCATGAAAAATGACAAGGAATCAAGCATGTTCAAAACAAGATCAAACACCGCATTCAAATATCATCAAACATGTTTTCAACATTATCAATTCTTTCCAAAAAATAGTTCCAAACATCATCATCAATCCTCATGAATTACAATGGAACATAAACCGTAAACCATTTCCAAAAACAATCCAAACATGCTCACACAAAAGATGGAAACCAATAGCACATTGATTTCAGTGAGCGAACAAAGGGCAGCGTATCAATTATAAAAAGGGACATGATACAATATCGAAGAACACTCAGAGGACATTCACGGTTACAATATTCACTCAATTTGAGAAAAGATCATCAAAAACCATACAAAACATTCACATAGCAGCACACAGAAGGATACACTGGTGAAAGCAAATACTAACAGTGAGTCGCACACGTAGCAAAAGTGATTATCACATGCATTCATACAAAAATCAGCATCATCTAAAAGTCACATTTTCATACAGTGAGAAGATACACCACAATACCCCATCAATACCCACACAAAAAATGAAAAATTGAAGCAAGTCGCACAACAGAGTCATAGAGAGAAATTAAGTACACCAGCACAACGCACCAATGCGCAAAGCATAAAGGGAAAAAACTGAAGAAGAGAAGCGAATTGAATAGGAACAAAGTGTTACCTGTGAAATCGATGTCGACTTCGAATGACCGTCGTGCCGGATTCTGTATCAAACAGCTCGAATCGATGAACTCGTCGAAAATTTGAGTTGAAGATGAAGAGTAGAACTTGTTGCAGCTGGCAATTTCGTTCAATTGCGGATCATGATTCTGAGTCGCAGCGTAATTCACGTGGTTGGAGGAGGATGCATTTTTGCTTTTGGGAAAAGTCATGCTGAAAGAATCCTTATCATGCTTTTCGGGTATGTATTGTTGTTTTTGTTCCACCCATTTTTGTATATCTAACTCGGGTGGGCTTTGATGCCCATCCCACGTTTTTATTTCTTAAACCCATCAATTTGTTTGTTGCACCCTCTTTATTTATATCTTTTTAGTTATTAGATTTTGAAGTTAAAATATTTTAATATTTTAAAGTTGGACTCTTAATTGATTACTGCTTTTTTATTTAGATTCTAATTAAATTTTTATTTTTTCCTAGAGTAGAAATTGATAATTAATTAAATTTCGATCGGGTTTTACTAAAGTGATTGTTTTCTCATTAGCCTTCTGTCGAGTCTTAATTTATAGAATTAGTGACTCGTCTCTTAACTAGATTTTGTATAAAAGCTTTTTTTTAGTAGAATTATGACTGATGGTTGTCTTGAGTATCCTGACTGCTTTACCTAAATGAAAGGTTGCAATTTTCCGTGGTGAATTATGATATTGAGATTAAGGCATACGAGGGATATTTAAGATTTGACATGCTCGTATGCTTTGTTGATTCCCATGTTCCTTTAGGTTTTGATTAAATTTTATCTCTGATAAATTGAATCAGATGAGATCTTATGATCAATCCTAGCACAGGATGATTTCTAGAATAACTTCCCCTTTTCTAGGTTGATTACTTCAGGTGATACTTAGTTTGTATCCTTAAGATAGTTTCTCTTAGGGTGTTTTCAACTTTTAACAACCTACAAATTAGGTTCCCTTTTCTCCCATGAGAAAATTAGAGACTAGTCATCCTTAGTTGAGATGTAATTCTCCTTCCCCATGACATAATTGAGAAAGATGTTGATTTATTTTCCACTTGAGAGAGGTATGCGGCATACTCGTCGATTCTATATCCGAGTTGGAGCCCTTCTCTCAATGTGAAGCAAAGATCCATCTTCCGCGTATTTGTGGTGGTTTAGTTGAGTATTCTCCTTAAGATGACAACTTGTCTCTTCTTCTAAAACCAACCAACAAATATTGTTTTTACCCGTAGTCGTTCGAACTACGGACACTCTAATTTCTCAAAGTTCCTTTTGAGAATACGTAGGCACAAGGATAATCCTTAGTAAACAACTTTTTCTTTTTACTTTATTTACCCTTAGTGAGGGGAACTACGAATGCTCTGATTCCATTCCCGTCAGGATACGTAGGCACAAGATGCGATTTCTTGGCGAGCATACTTAGAAATAAACCCCTAGGTCATCCCCTTAGCAGTCAAATAGCAGATAAAAAATAACACAAATACTAACAAGAGGTTCCTGTAGAGTACTATAGATGCTTAGGATGCTAACACCTTCCCTATGTATAACCAACCCCCAAACCTTATATTCTCTCTTGCATTGTATTGCATTGCATACTCATGGGCTATTCGATCTTTTTCCCTTCCATTGGACAAATTAAAGACTGGTTGTAAATAATGATTTGTGACTCAAGTTAATCAATAGTTATGATATCCAATTCTCACCGCGACAGAAATGACGACTTCACTGGGGATTCTTTATCGAGGGTTCCTCCTAACTTATTTTATTTTGTGTTTTGTTGTGTATATATATATATATATATATATATATATATATATATATATATATATATATATATATATATATATATATATATATATATATATATATATATATATATATATATATATATATTTGTTTATTCATGTATATATGTTTCTGCTTTGGGTTGTTACTTTCGTGTGGTGAGATAAGTCATATACCCAGACTTGAGTGCACTTATGATAGGAAGGTGATTCCCGACCAAACTGACTTGAGAAATCACCACTCAGTCGAGGCCCTCTTGAGAATAGTATTGTTGAACGAGTATTCATGAAAACACTGACTACTTTCGATCTAGGAGCCCGTGACAATGAGAACCTTTAGTTACCCTTAGCTCAACTTGGCTTTCTCAGGACGTCGCGTGTTGACTATGAAGGAGTAGTTCTAAAATAGTTGATACGTGATACTAAACTCGAAAGAGGTTCTCTTGAGAATATTATTAACTAACGAGTATTTAGGAAATTGATAATATTCGAAAGATGGGCTGATGACTTTGGGAACCCTTTTAGAACCCTTGTTCTGTAAGTATAATAAACCCTTAGTCCACACCATTTGGGATGGGTAGACCCTTACTCCAGGCTCGTTGATTTTCAAACCTAAGTCTTTGTATGTTTGAATGTATAAGTGTATATATGGATATGTGCATGCCTGTGTTTGTACATACATACATTCATAAACATCATGTTCATAAAATTTTCATGGAATTCAAAGCTCTTGTATGCAAACATCATAGGTTTTACCACGGATTTTGGAAATTATACTCTATTTTGTAATCCTTCAATTTTCAATAGAATGAGATTTTCAGTTATCAAAAGTGTTGTCCACTTTATGGTGTTTACAAACATAACTTTTGAGTCCCTTGAAACTCATCTGCATTAACACATCTGCATACATCATTAGCATCGCAGTCTTTGCATTCCAGATTCTCACTCTTGCTTCTTCTTTCGGTAGACAAGTTGTCACATCACTATGTTACTCGGGCGAATCAAAGAAAGAAGATGGATAACATTGAGCAAGAAAACCATGAACTCCGTAAGGAAATGACTACTTTGAGGGCTGTTATGGAAAGGCTCTCTATTTTGGTTGAAACTCTGGTTGCTACTAAAAATCAACTTTTTCCTCATATTTCTCAGACTCCGCTTCAAAGGACCGTGATTTCTGAAATCATGTCAATGCCCATTCATGTGATTCCCGTTAGCACTTCTAGCAACTCTAAGAAACCCGGGGAGGGTTTTCCCAAGAAGAAGGAAACATGGAGGATCTCGTAGCAAAATTAAACAACATGTGGATCAGTTTGACCCGACCCCGATGGCCTATTCTGAATTATATTCTGCTTTAGTACAGAAGAATTTGATGCAAACAAGGGCTCCACTAGCCATCCCAAAGGAACTCCCATGGTGGTTTAAGTTTGATCGTTTTGTCCATTTCATTAAGGAGCATCCAATCATGACATTGAACATTGCTTTGCTTTGAAAGCTGAATTATAAAAGCTAATGCAAAGTGTTATTTTATGTTTTGAAGATTCTGGACCCAATTGTTGCGGTGAGAATATGATATCAAATTATTAATTAATTTGAATCGCATCTTTAGTTTACAACCGATCTTTGATTTATCCGAAGGAAAAGGTCAAAAGAAGAAAAACCTAATTTTGCATCGTAGACAATGCAGGGAGAGATCTAGGTAAGGGGTTGGTTAAGCTTAGGGAAGATATTAGCACCCTAAACTTCTGTAGTACTCTACGGGAACCTTTTGCTTAAAGTTTACTATTTTGCTTGATTATTTGCTTTAGGGTATATTGCTAAGGGTTAAAAGATGAAAGAGAGACCTAAGGGTTAGTCCTAAGTTTACTCGGCAAGATTCACATCTTGTGCCTACATATCCTAGGTAGGGAATGGAATCAGAGTAATCGTAGTTCCCCTCAAAAGGGAGGTTAGAAACTTCTTGATTGTAATCAAGGTTTCAATGGGGAATAAGCGTTCATATGGAAGCGCTTACGTGGAGTGCGGCGACTCCTATTTCTATGTTGAAATAGTTGAATTGAAATTAGGGTTAACTAGGTATTCCACGGCGGGAAACCTAAAATGGAGTGCGGCGACCTAAGGCTAGGGTAAAGGGTAAATTTGTCTACGGCAGGACGCCTAAAAATATGAGTACGACGACTCGAATTCTCTAGGTTGTAAAGTTGAATTGAAAATAGGGTTAAAATAGGTATTCCACGGTGGGGAACTTAAAATGGAGTGCGACGACTCCTTAACCTAATGCTAGTGTAATTCGGTCCACGGCGGGACGCCTATGCAATTAGGGTTTTGAAAGGGTCAAAGGTTAGGGTTATTGACTCGGCGGTCAAACGGCTAGATCTAATCCTGCGGAAGGTTTAACGGTAAATAATGCAGATGATAAGTTATTACATGGCGGGATTGAAATAGATGAAAATATGAAAGCAGTAAAGAAGTGCAAAGCGACGACCACTCGCGTAAATTACAACCAAAAATAAATGAAAGAATAATAATGAAAGAAAAGCGACAATGTCTCGCATAAAGTTACAACCATAGAACGAAAACACGACCAAAGGTGAGATTAATAATCAAGTACAAACAAGAGATATGAAAGCCAGATGATGATTAACAAGAAAGTCAGATGAAGGTCAGATGATAACTGATGTTAATTTATTTACAAAAATTAGGATTTTAGTTAGAAAAAGAAATGGATTAACAAACTTAACAATTAAAAGAAAATGTTAATTTTCAAATTCAACTTTAATCTTGTTAAAAGATTAATTTTAAAGGGTAAAGTTTTAGTTTTATGGTATTTACAAATGGTTCTAACTTAAAATTTCTTCAAAAGAACGGTTTTGATAAATTCTAAATTAAAACAAATTTTAATTTTGAAAATCAATTTTAAGTGTTAAACAAAATTTAGCTGAATATTTAAGTTAAATGTTTTAGTTAAAAAAAATGATTTTAATTTTTATGTTTTGATTACAAATTTTTTTAAAAGGGTTTTATTAAGTTTTTTACTAAAACCTTAATGACAATTTCAATGAGGCTTACTATCTAAACATGTGGACTTACAACATAATCTAACATTAATATCACCTAATAATAAACTAATAAAATAAATAAATAAAAAACAAAGAGAAAAAGTGAAATAAATGGAATTGGGGGAGGCGGATGGCATTTGTGTCTAGGGTTAGAAACCCTCATCTTCTTCTTCTCCAAAGGCGTCGCCACTGCCATGGTTCCATCTTCGAAGCTTCCACTCATTTTTCCATTCCGTCCCGTTCCTTCGTCCACTTGCGATACCTGCGAAAAAAATCCGAAAACCGTTAGGTGGTAGCTCACCTCCTATGGAGGTTTGAAGCAACTTTCCTTTATGGTTTTGGTTGGATGGAGACGATGATGA